TGGACAATTACTTTTACAATTAGAGTTGGGCCTTGGTTGAAAATTTTCAACCCGAATTTAATTAAAAAAATTTTGGGTTGAGATGCTAGCAACGTGAGCCAACCCGAAATCTAATACTATTTTCATGTATATTTTTAATTTTAAATAAATTGTATATAATATTTAAACTATGATAACCTTTTTCCTTTCAACTTCCTTCGTTAAACTTTAACTTATTGAATGTAAACATTTAGGACAATTAATTTTTTAAGAATTTGTTTGTAATTTATTAAAAATTTACAAAAAGTCTTTTAATTTTTTTTTTTTTTTTTTTTAAAGAGTAATTTAATCTAAAATTAATTCAAGATCATATTAAATTTTTGGTGTGAAGATTAGCCATATTAGAAACCCGAATTAACCCGGAATCTAAATCTGAGTTGTAAGCCCGAATTTAAAATTAGAAGAATGGGTTGGGCTCGAGTTGAGTAGTTAGGGTTGAAAATAGTATTAGGTTTGGACTTGGGCTTAACATTTCAAATGGTGGGTTGGGTTTAGGTTATACCCCAAACCCGCCCGAGTTGCAGCCCTATTAAAAGGTGACTCTTCTAGAAAGTCTATGGTCCGATGAAGTAAAAATTGGACAATATTATATCTGGCGAGATAAGGGGCCTCATTACAAATAAAGCATTTTTTAAGGGAAACCTAACCAGAGACCACCAGAATTTAATCATCATGTTTTTATTCGATATAACTATTCAATACACACACATATAGTTATTTACTTTAGTGTATGCATTTTTTAAAAAAATTACAAAATGTCCCTATTAAATTCTCTCTCTCTCTCTCTCAAAAACTCTCTCTAACTCTTTTTAGGGTTGCAACTCAGGCGGGTTGGACAGGCTTGACACTCATCTCGAGTTAGGTCTATATAGAAAATCTTTAGTTCAAGCCCAGCCCGAGCCCACCTTAAGCCCAACCCAAGCCCACCTCAGAAGAATTTGTGTATAAAAAATAAATTAATTAATGTTGCACCCATAACTTGAAATTAAAACTTTAAGGATAAATCTCAAGTACACTACCGACTTGGCTACCATACTCTTGTGACTTAAGTATAATTATAAATATATGTAATATTTTCGGGCTTCATCCATATCAACCCAAGCCAAGCCTGAATTGAATTTGGGATCAAAATATATAGCCCAGGCCCAAACCGTAATTAGAAAAACATTGCCCAAGCCCACAAAATTTCGGGCTGGGCCCGGGTTATTTCGGGTTGGGCCTGCCCGAGTTGTAGCCCTAACTCTTCTTCTTTTTCTCTTTTATTTTTTATTTTTATTATTTCAAGTTTTTAATTCCGTCAAAAAAAAAATTTGCATTCACTTTCTTTAATAAAACCCTAATTTTCCTCTACAAAGTTCTTTCTTTCTTCTTCTTTTTTTTTCTCATTTTTTTTCTCTTTCTTAAATCTTTTTTTTTTTTATTCTTGCACGCGCGCGCGCGTGTGTGTATATATATATATATATGATGTATGTACAATAATATTTTTCTCCCTTCTTTTTTTTTTTGAACTTGGATCCTCTAAGTTAAATCTTCTCTAAGTTATTCTACGTTGAATTCTCTTCAGATTGACATATGACATTTAAAATATATCTACTGCTGGTGTTAAATCACGTCAACTAATTTAAAGAAAGTTTGAAAACTGCACCGTTTTGAGATAAGGAAAATTTACCAAAGTGTGAAAAACTGAATCGTTTTGAAATAAGAAAAATTCACCATACTTTAACGACGTTAACATCGTTCTCTTTCCTCTTTTTCGAAAAGGATCGCTCCCTCTCTCTCCTCTTGCTTTTTCCCACAAGTGGGGAAATATTTAATATTCTGTAATGGATTTTGCAGTCTAAATTTCAAAAAAGGGAGGAATTTTATAATTTAGATTTCAGAAAATAAGAGTGAAAAAAGAGAGGAATTTTGCAATTTAGATTTCAGGAAAAGAGAGTAAACCAGAGCGATTTTGCAATTTAAATTTCAAAAAAGAGAGGAATTTTGTAATTTAGATTTTAGAAAAAAAGGGTGAAAAAAGAGAGGAATTTTACAATTTAGATTTCAGAAAAAGAAAGTGAACCAGAGCTTCTAGGCACCAAAAATCGTGGGAAAAAACATTCATTTTTGGCTTCAAATATTCCTCCATGAGCAAGAAGAGAGAGGGAGCGATTTTTATTGGAAAAGATGAGGGAGAGAGAACGACCTTAACGTGGTGAATTTTCCTTATTTCAAAACGGTGTAGTTTTTAAACTTTAATAAATTTTTCTTATTTGATAGATTTGAAATGTCACATTGTCAAGTGTCAATTTACAACGAATTCAACTTAGAATAACTTATAGAAGATTTAATTTAGAAGATCTAAGTCCTTTTTTTCTCTTGTTCTTTAAATTTCACTGTAAATTTATGAAATTAATGTTCATATATTATATTTTAAAACTTTTTTACTATATATATATATATATTTAGAATAATGACATATAATAGTTGAATTGAAATTATATTTTTTGACTTGCTAGTTTGCCCCACCGACGGTTGAAAAAATAAAATAAAATAAAATAAAAATTGACATATTTATTGAGCCCCACGACTACAATTCCTGCCTCCGTTGCTGATGGTGACGCCCCTAATACAGCATTCTTGCTTTTCAGATGGAGCTATGGAGGAGTTCTAACATATTTGTCTCAATATTTCTTTGAAAATTCATCATTTTTTTTTTAATCTTCCACAAAATAAGATTTTTTTTTTCAAATTGATCCATTGTATACGATGAATTTCTATATCGATTTATTATGCAAAAAGTCAATGAAACATAAAAACAAGTCTGTGCTGTGTTTTAAATGGTCTCGATCATTTTGTGCTATTATGTACTTTTTTATAATTCAAGTCCGTGCAATATTTTTGTGTCAACCTTATAAAATTCACTAAATTACAAGATATCATAGTTAGTAAAATACGGTACGAAAAAAATATCGGTACGAAAACGTACGAGTATAATTCGATATTTTTTTTAAAATACGTTTAAAAAATTCGACAAAAAAATACGGAGATGTAAAAATACGAATACAGATATGTACATATATAATACGTTATATACTCTAAAAATTCGGGATAAAAAATTCGGCTATACACATCTTATTATTTTCTAATATATATATATATATATATTTGTAAGGATAATAAATAATATGTAACAAATAATGAAATAAACATATTACAATTAACACTATCACAATAATCATAAAAAAAAATTTATAAGCATATAATGTAATATTCTACTAAAACATCTAGGGAGTGTGGTGATCTACAAATTTCTAAAATAATAATAATATCTCACAACAAAACAAAAAATCTATAAATATCTACAAATATCAATAAAAAACTTATGATTCTTCAAGATTATAGTGTTCCACAATTATATATATATATATATATATATATATATATATATATATATATATCTTTCATTGCTTTGATTAAAGATCATAATTGGAGTGACAACAATAAGAGATTGCACAACAAATAACATTATTTTGATGGTTTGAAAAATAATGGTTATACCAAGCAAAAGAGGGTAGAAAACACAATAGTTTGCACAACAAATAACATTATTGTGATGGTTTCAAAAATAATGGCTATAACAAGTACAGGAGGGTAGAAAAGACAATATTTTTGTGTTTTAGAAAAATATGCTATTAGAAACGTGAATTTCGTAAACAAAAAAAATAATAATTAGGTTACGAATTAAACGCGCACGTACAAATTTTGAGAAAATAGTTCCGTTTGCCGATCAGAGTTGAAAGATACGAATGACAAAATGGTAAATAGGTGAGTAAAAGTCTGTGTCAGGCACCTGTAATGGTCAAGCCCAATAATTTCCCATATTTTCAGGAGAAAAAATCCAGCCTCAATATTTTATTATTTATTAGTGTCAACAAGTTTAGTGTTAACCCTTTAATAATTAAAATTTAATGATTTGATATTTAAATAGCTAATAGTTTTTGAAATAACAAATCAATTTAGTTTTATTATGGATAAGTAATAATTATTACTTAATTTTCAATAACTTTTAGATCTGTTGTTAATGTGAATTTAAAACAAAGATTAACTAATAATTAATGAATTGATGCCTCTCACAATTGTTAAATATTAGGTTGTTAATTATAAATGCAAAATAAGTAATACAATCAATAGATTGATGGAACATCGAAAATACTACGACATCAATACTATGAATTTCACAATTATTTTTTTCTCCATTTGGACTTTATTTGTTTTGGAAAATGACATAATTACCTTTCAAAACTCTCATGCTCTTGTTGTTATTTTTAAAGGTAATATATATATGCTCCAAAATGGGAATATGACATTGCAACCATGAAAGTATGATTAAATATAACTTAACATACCACCATAAAAGTAGTAACACAAACCTATCTTTAAATTGATCAAACAAGATCATATGACAGTGATATTAATTAAAATCCAGAAAACATTCCATGATCTTCTAAGAGCTGAATTGGGCTGCTCCGGTAAGGTACCCGTAGCCGAAGAAGGAGGTGGCCACCATAAGTGGCACAAAATACTCAGCAAAGGTCACATATTTGGGCACAGTAAATAAGATTTTTTCAAATTGATCCATTTTACATGATGAATTTCTATATCGATTTATTATGCAAAAAGTCAATGAAACATAAAAAAACTTAGTCCGTGGTATGTTTTAAATGATGTCCGGATCTTTTGGGCCATTGCGTACTTTTTTATAATTCAAGTTCGTGGTACTTTTTTATAATTCAAGCCCGTGCAATGTTTAATTATAAATGCAAAATAAGTAATACAATGAATAGATTGATGGAACATCGATAATACTACCACATCAATATTATGAATTTCACAAATATTTTTTCTCCATTTGGACTATACTTGTTTTATATTATATTATATTATATATATTTTGCCTTTTTTATATTAATTCCAAAATGGAAATATGATATTGAAACCATTAAATTATGATGAAATATAAGCTTAACATACCATCATAAAAACAGTAACACAAACATATCTTCAGATTGATCAAACAAGATCCTATGATAGGGATATTAATTAAAATCCAGAAAACATTCCAAGATCTTCTAAGAGCTGAACTGGGCTGCTCCGATGAGGTACCGGTAGCCGAAGAAGGAGGTGGCCACCAAAAGTGGCACAAAATACTCAGCAAAGGTCACATATTTGGGCACAGCATCATCCTTGATCACAAAAGCACTCATTTCTTTGCCTTTGGACTCCTTGTAAGAAGCAATGCTGTTCTTGGAGTCACTGTCAGCTTCCTGGATGTTGTGGCCTTGGAGATATCCCACCTGGTATTTCAGAAGCAGATTCTGGGCAGCCTGGCTGTGTCCGATGTTCTTAAACTCCTTGGTGGCGTCTTTCCCGGCAACCTCAAGCAAAACGTCGTCCCCTCCCGGGTGTTCTTCCAAAAACTTCGTCACGTCCAATACCTATATGCATGCATAGAAACATATCATTCACATCCATAAATACTCTGCATAGAATAGAACCACGAAACAAGATTCATGTAACTGACACCAAATCATCTGTATTCACTCAAATGCATGTGTCATGTGTGTGTGTGTATAGAGAGAGAGAGAGAGAGGGAGAGGGTATTGGGGTTACTCTGCCATTGATGATGAGCCAACAATCTTTAGTGGACTTGTGCTGCGCAACCTGTGAAAGGGTGAAGACTCTTTGCTTGTTCATTTTGTCTGAGAGAGAGAGAGAGAGAGTTTGGATTTATAAAATTGGTGATAGAGTGATATATATATATATATATATAATAGGGGGATGAAGAGATTTGGGGAAGGTGGGTGAGTTGTTGAGCACGCTGGCTAGCTAGCTAGCTACCACCATTTGATTTTCAGTTGAGTTAAAAGATGGGTTAATTGACCAAGCAACTTGGCCCCCTACATTTTCCAAATTGAACAAATAAAGACAATTCTTCAATTTGAAGACTGAAATACCCCAAGAGTCCTCAAGACAAATAAATAAAAACAAGTTTAAATTGAAGACTAAATACCAAATGCCCTTAAGGGTATTTTGGGATTTTACAAATAAAATTGGTCAAAACTGACAATCAGGGGGCAATTTGTTACAAATTTTCAAAGTATAAGAATTTATATGCACACTTTAAATAGTAGGGTTGCTTTTTGCACATGTTTTATATAACTTTTTTTTTTTTTTTTTTTGGCACTTTACCCTATAATATACTTATTTATATATATGTATATATCACCATTTTGATGAGGGATGAGGGTGTTACTGTGGACTATACAGTAAAGGAAGACATGTGACACCCCCACCTTTCCATGGCTTTGTTTGGAAGGTACATATTTCTGATTTGGTGGATGTTTAGGTTAGGCTGCTAACATTCCTTCTCATAGTTGAACTTGCATTATAGTTTTGTACATCTTTTTGAATTTTGGAACAACTCTGGAAATTTCATCATATTTGTAACTATTCACCTTACAACTATCAAAATTAAAAATAATAATATAAATAACTTAGCCAAATATTTGGCCAAGTTAGTTAAAAGAATACTATTTTGTTGTTAAGTTGCAGTAGTTTTTCCTTAGCTATGCCCCGCAAGTCCTTATACAACTGGGTTCTAATACAACTACCTAAAACTTGTAGGCTAATTGGTACCTTTCCTTTGCATACTAGGGTTAATTCAAATCTCAAATAAGATGTAAAAAAGAGCAGCTCTAAAACATATTCAAGTAAATCCGAATACAAAACATATCAAGTCTGAGTTGACTCTTACAAACAAAATTCATATCCTATGTCCTGCAAAGATATGCTCATTTGTTATTGTAAACAAATGCGATGGTATTTTTTTTTGCCCTTGAGAAAGCAAAAAAATAAGTTGTATGAGCCAAAAATTTTTTTGCATTAACTAGACCCCTATGGGCATTATCAAGTAGCCTAGTTGGCAAAGCGCCTAACTCCCCAAACCTAAAAAAATAAAAAAAAAGAGTCAGTTTTCACCTTCACTTACGTAAGCTTCATAGTATCACCACTTTCTCATAATTTATAAGGGTACCAATTATAAAGTAATTCATTATGAGAAAGTGATGATACTCTGAAACCTACATTAGTGAAAGTGGAAAATGACCCCTTCACTCCCCTCCACAGTATAATAGCACATAGTATTGTACAAAAGCCGATAAAACATAAATAATGTCATAGGTAAGATCACGACACCCTTCTTCTCTATGTAGCCAATAATCCACTACATTAACTGCTAGATTTTCAAAACTTAATATTGCAGAAACAATCATTAATCCTCAACCTGTGATCTTTTCAGCTTCTAGAGCAATGAGGCTGAGTTTCGTTCCCTAAGCTAATATTGGCAGTTGTCTCATTCTCAGTGAGACCACTGTACTACCTGGCAAACTTAATAAAACACTGGTGCATGGCTTTTTGATAAAATCTACAGTAGTTTTCACGTGGGGGTGTGTATTGAGTTTTTTTTTCTTCGTAAAAAGTGTGTATAAGTGCGTATTGTGGGTGTGTAAAACATGTATATGAGCATGTACGAGTTTTTTTGGGTTTCTTACCGAAGGCTTTATATATTCACTACCATGGGACTAGCCCAATGATTAGTAAGTCTAGTATACTAACCTAATGTGACTAACCAATGACTAGTATGCTAACCTAATATCTAGTGTACAAATGAGTTTTTTTAGTAACCTAATGATTAGCTATTATGCCGATCAAATTTTTTTGGGTAAGTTATTATACTGACTAGTCCTTGATGTCTTGTACGCTACTTTCACTGATGACAGTAAATGCAATATACTTAAACTAGTTAATGTACAAGATACTATAGAGTTATTTGTGTTTTTAGACTTTTATTACTACTACGGTACTGCTGAAAGCCAGTATGGCAAAATGGAAATGCGTATCACGTTTGGTTAACGTGTGCCCACGGTTAACTTTCGCCCAAATTCACCCGATTCCACCCCCAAGTCCCATCTCTCTATAATCTCTATACACTCTCTTAATCTTTTGTCTTATCTAACCTCCACCGACATTAACTAAGTCCTTCTCACACAAGATAAGTATACATGTTAGGCCAAAGGAATCAGCAAATAAGGGAACAAAATCTGCTGCTTTCTAGGGTAAGAAGGACTTGCTAAAGGAACAAGTAACTAAGGGACGAAAGGAGGTTGGTTTCTTTCAATAAGATGAGGTGTGGGTTGGTGTAAGATGGGAGAAATTATTACATGGTCCTGGGCCAATCATGTGCTGTCACATAAGCAAATGTGTCAGCTTTATGTCATCTTCAACCCACTTTTTGCTTATAAGTCACTTCTTGGTGTGAAACATGAATAGCTGGTGACATATTATGATGTGTGTTTGTGTATGTGCCAAAGGAATCAACAATTAAGGGAACAAAATGGGCTGCTTTCTTGGATGAGAAGGATTTGCTAAAGAAATAAGTATGGGACAAAAGGAAGTTGGTTTCTTTACATTCGAACTGAATGCAATATTGTCTGTGGAGGAAGGAATCCATTTCCTTTGAACCTCAAATACCGATTTCTATTTTTTAATATACAGGAAAATTACCTCATAATTATTGAAATGGAAATTTTGTGAAACTATATTAGACTTGCATTGGAGGCTCAAGGTTTCCTTCGACAAATAGTTAGCGTACCTTACGTATCAAACAGAGAAGGCACCAACCACTGCACTTATGTCTAACTCACACGGTCGAAATGCATTGCAAGCTTGCAAAGAGGAGAGAAGGTCCAAGTAGAAACTACTGAGAAGCATGAAGATTGGGAGAGCTTTTTGAGATACCCGACTCTCTACCTTCACCTTGACCTTTCCTTTTAAATTCCATGCCTTGGAATGTGAATCTATCGGACCGATATTGACTACCAAATGCTGTGCCAGAGTCCCATCCAAGGCCTAGCCCAATTCCACAGCCTCCACCTTCAATTAAATGAGTCAGCTGGATTTGAAATAAGAACTTTTTAGTACTAATACAATGCAAGTTCTTAACAAGGTCTTAACATATTTTGTTATTTTTTATCAAGGTGCAGGCTTTTGAAAGTTTTATAAACTTAATTGTTTGATTCAAATAGAAAATATTTCCAACTTTCGGTCCACAACACTTGTACCAGTACAGAAACAGAAACCTAACCAGAGGACACAAAACTACTGAAGAAACCACTAATTGCATCACAAGGAGTATAAAATAACATCAAGCAGAACTACATAAGAAACCATTAATAGCATCACAAGGAATGAAACATCAAGTACCTTATATGGTAGAAAGGTAAAGAGTTTATGCTTTTGTTCTTCATATAAAAAAAAAAAGGTCCTATTTTATTAGTAAAAAGAATAGGCATGACACGCATATCCAGGTAAAAACTTCTAATAATTGGATCAGCTATACTGCAGGACAATAATTGGAGTAATACAAATTAAGAGTAGTGATCAGAATGCCAGTCGAAATTTTGTATTAAAATCAATTATATATATGCTACTGGTGCTATTGAACTATTTAAAAGTTCAAAAGTTCAAACGGGTAAATTGCCTTATTTTGCAGGCATGTGAAAGCAAAAAAAAAAAAAAAAAAAAAAAACTAAATGCTTAGACGTGAGAAAACATCAAATTACTATTAAAAAAGAAGAAAACAAAAGGCATAACACCATTGCAACCCCTCTGTCTATGTTACACGGATTGGGGTACGTGTGTCGGTCCTGTCGGATACGTAACCATGCATAGACGTGTTAAATCCTCAAACAATAGTGTCGACCAATATCACACCCGCATGTACGAGTACTGTGTGTCTGACAATAGTACTTAATCTACTTTTAAAGGGTCCATGTAACATAGGTTATATGGACTTTTCAAAAGTACATGAAGTACCCGGCTTGGATACACAGTACTTAGACATGGAGTTGGAAATTTGGAATATGTGTCGAACACAATTGGTTTTTTCACCGCAACCCATTTGGTTGAACCTGCACCCAGAAAGCATATCCAATTATTCAAATTTAGACATACATACATACATATATATATATATATATATATATATATATATATATTGGGAAATTAAAGCAAACACACACACCTTATTCAAAACATTGTCCATAGTGGGACTTGAACTCTCAACCTCCCACTTTGAGGAGGAGAGATCATACCATTGGGCTAGAGGCCCTTTGGTATTATTACCTCAAAATGAGTAAAATACCTATATTGAGTATTGTATAATATATATGTGACACACAAAAAATTTCATACTCTATAATATAAAATAAAATAAAATAAATAATATGAATATTTAGTAGTGTCCATAAATGATATGTTTGACACTTGGACACATATCTGCACTCGATACACATATCCAAGACTGTACAACATAACTTTCTGTTACTCTTGCTTGAGTCTCGGAGTCATTCAAACCAGTACATCTGTACAAAGAAGGTTTTTACTTTCCAATGGGAGGTTAGAGGTTCGAACCTCAGTGGAGGCCGTGTGTGTCAGTTTCCCAACTAGGAAAAAAGAAGAAGAAGGTTTTTACCGGAGTATTAAAACTTTTTCCTAATTCATTACCACTTCATTCCTCCACACTCTGATCAGACAACAAGCATCTAGCGAAGATCAGAAGATATGTGATGTTATCGGTCAGGTTCCAGTCCAGTCTACTTTTGACAGAGTTCTGTTATTTCTCTAATTCATGTGCTCCAAAAAGTTAATCCTTCTAAGCATATACCATCTAAAGCTCAAACTCATCAGCTCTTGGCACCTGCACACACACACACAGATTCATCTACAAAATGGGATTTGAATCTTAGTTTCAACCATACATTGAAACTAAGATTCTTGGTCAATCTTATCATATTGCAGGTGTAATGTGGTTCAAGGGTTAGATAATAATCATTTAACAATGTTAAATTCACACCCATGTGTCATATTTCTTGAAGAGCTATTGAAGCGCAAAATCCTTTTCATTTGGAGGATCTAAAACAGTGTGGATGGAGTTAGATAGAAAAGGATGCCACAAAAGCCCTTTAATCTTTCAACATATCAGTAATTCTTTCTTTGTTACCACCTAAGAAATAAAAGTTAGAAACCTTACCTGATAATAAGATACTCTTTTATTTTTTACAGACACAAGAATCCTCTTTAATACACCAAACCAATGGGGTCAAGACAATGGCACCAATATATTAGAACACCAAGTTTTCAATTCTGCAAGGGAAGATCAAACAGATTCACTAAATAAATGAAACAAATACTAATATCATCATCCATGACCAATGGACAACAAAAGGTTGTTTTTAAAGATTAAGGATAACACCAAAAGGCTCCCTTTAATATAAATATCACAGATGCACATATAAGAAGACTTAGCCTTGTCTTTTGGATTATTGGAGCATGTGATATGTCTAGTATAACAAGAACAATAGTCTAAGCATTCGTCTTGATTTCGAGGGAGAATTTTTTTAGTTCTGCAAAAAAAAGACAAAAATAGGAGATCAATATGGATTTAGGAATATTCTTTCTTTTTCTTTAAGGGTTCATTTTTTTGGATCTAGAATTAAATACCAAATTCGACACGGGTGTCTTTATGAGCACCTTTCAAAAATCAATAAATTAAGAAAAAATATATATATCTACCAGGATCACCAATCTCAGTCATGGATCATCACAATGAAAGGTGCTTCTGAGAAAACTCTTTCTTTTGTTGGGTAGGTCATAATTGAGAAAACTTTCTTAATTTTATTTATAGTTTCCTCTTCAGCAGAACATGAGTACTAAACAAGAGCGCAGTTAATCTGCTACTGCAATACAACACAATCAATTTCTGAAAAACAAAAAAAAAAAAATATATATATATATATATATATATATATATATATAACATGCGCACTATCTTTCTAGACAACTCCCTCAACACCCTTCAATTAAATGCAGCTTATCTACAAGTTCTTCCTTCCCAGCATCATCCCAGGGTGATCCAAAAAAGTTGTATTAAGATTTGTCAATATAAACCAAAGAAATGCCTTCAAGTTACTAACTTGACCCACAACTGAACCCATCAAGAACAAAAAATCAACTCACTATGAATCCCACAGGTCACAATTAATAAACAATAATAATCAACCCAATAGTGATAAAAATCTGAAATTTCAAGCAAGATGGTATAGAATGAAAAAGATGCAGAGGAAAATTATGGAAGACAAACCTCCGAAACCCCATCCTACGCCGAAACCGCAACCAACTCCAAAACCTGAATAGGATCCACAGACAATTCAAAATACACATTATAGGGTGAAATGTAGATGTCGCTAAACCTAGCATATGGAGGAAATAAAAAAATGCATACCAAATCCGACCCCAGTACCGTCGAAGCTTGTGAGCACCATCGTTTTTGAAAGCTGAACAAGTTCGAATCGCACTGGCATCAGTATATATACATATATAAATACAAACAAAATAATTCCAATTTTACAAATTATATATATAGATGATACCTTGAATTGTTGATGTTTGATGAGGTTCGAGATTAATCTCTAGACTTTAATAATGGGACGCAATTGGCGAAATTGGGGCTGAGGAGAAGGTGGATTTAAAAATACAGTACCATTTTGATTATTAGAGCTGGATGTTAGAGGTGGCCAATATTGACGACGTTGGATGAAAAGTAAGATGTGCATAAATATGAGTTCGGTGTATTATATTGAAGTATGATAAATGTGTGAAATTGGTATAAATGAGTTCGGTATTCATTTATTTATAAATGTGTGAAATTGGTATATTAACTAATAGGGGTATAAAGGTACCAAGGGCTTGCCTTATCACCAAAATTTTTTTCTTGTCTATTTCTTAGTTATTGTTCAATGGGTTAGATCAAGAAGCACCCAATTTCTTATAATTGGTATCTTAGTTCCAGTTTTTAATTCAATGTCATATTAAGTGTCTATCTCGAATGCGTCCAAATGTGCCAGTCCAGATAGATAGAGTAATTCGATCGTAACAAGACGTTACGAGTTCGAATGAAAGAAAATATTAAAAATGTATCATATCGAATTTAAATGTAGGTGAAAAATAAAATAGTTATAAATGAGTTGGGTATTAATACCACCTATTAACTTAAGTTTTTGAATTAGAGATTTGTTTTGGGACACAAATTCTATTCTTATGCGAGTCTGACGCAAAAACAATAAACGGATATGTGTGTTGTGTTACAAATCTACAATTAAAGAATTAAATATGTTTATATATTAAACTTAAGGTTAATTGAATAAATTTTTTTTAACCAAGGGCCTTGGACCAAGTGAATGGTTACACTTCGAATCTCCAAAGGAACAAATTAGGTGCGTGAACGGTGTGCGTGAGTTTCTTGAAAAATAAATAAATAAAAAAAATTTCAGTAAAAATAATAATAAAAATAATAGCTTGGTACATTTGTTGATAAAATGGTTTTCGAATGTAATGAACCACAGAACCAGACTTAAGGCCCGGAATCAATGTGCAGGCCCATCCATTTGTTCCCGTTCTTTTTCTTTTACCTGGGTGATATTGGGCCACTAGTGTTCTCATTCTTACGCAGCGTTGAGATTGGACCGGCCACTAGTGTTTATATGAATGATTTATCTATTTATTTTTTTTTTTTTTTTTTTTGTGAAAAGAAACACACACCCTATTTACAAATTCATTTCATACCATTGAGCCACAAGATTCTTGGTGATTAATGATGAATGTGGTCATTTCAATTTTTAAATATCATGAAATTATGGAGGATTGTTGATTTGTTTATTTTTATTTTTATTTTATCTATTTAAATGTATTTTTGAAAAATACCAAAAAAATAAAAAGAAATACATGTTACATGTACAAATTTCTACATAAATTTTTTTATGAAGACAATATTTTATGACAAAACAAATAGAACCTTGATTACATTTGGTGGTTGGTTTGGACAATAATTACATTATTATCTTGACTTTTCCTAAACTTGTTCGTGGACAACTGTGAAATGACTTTACATGTTTCATTTAGTAATGTTTGTATATAAGAGTATCTTATAAACTGTCACGTATGATATGTAAATTTTTTTTATCTCATACATTGCAACATCACCAATGTGTAAAATTATTGTGTATTTTACACAACTTTTTTACATAGTCACATGCATCAGCATATTTCTTTTCATCAACCTTATATTAAGTAGGTTTGTAAAAATTACGTGGGGTCTAGGCATAACACTGGTTGATTGTTATTGGGAGATATATTTTTACACAAAAAGTATAAAACAACCGCTAAAGATAAAATGTAATGACCCGGTCATTTTCATTCCTTTTTCTTTTTACTCAAATTTTACAGATAAATTTTTTCCGTTATCTTTTCTTTTCTGTGTTTGGTTTCCCATCACTTAGTGTCATATCAAGTGCTCGAAAATGGTTTCTGAGACTCTTTTCTTAAGATTGACAACTTCCTTTAAGGACCGAGTCATTTCTACATTTTACATTTTTCGTCACTATTCATTTTTTTGTCTTTTCTCGATTTCCTTTTTCGTTGCATAACCTCACTTTTTGCCCTTGGATTTGACTCCGGCTTTGTATGCATTCATGATATTTAATTTCTATGATATCTACATTTTTACTTTTGTATAAAACTATGCTAAATGTTTACTTTTCTTGTAAATGATATGGATGCATAACTTTTGGTAATTTTTTTAAATTTTTGGGGCTTCAGAGTAATTATGAAAAATAATTATTTTTCATCTTAAGGACCTTTTTGCAATTAAATTTGGAAGATATTTTCAAAAAGGATCTTTTTGCAATTTTTGAAAAGTGTGACAAGTGTCACACTCCTATGGAACCACTTGTTGATATTTTGGTGGAACCACTTGGAAGCTTAATCTCTTGACACATGGAGGGTGGAGATTCACCTATTTGTTGGCCTAGAATTGGACCACTTGTTGGCTTGAATAAATGATAAGTGTATGCTCCAAATTAAGTCTTGCAATTATTTTTGGGCCACTTTGGGTTATGGTTTTAAAGAAGGGTTATTGTACAATTGACCAAGACTTGTGTGTGTTGACTATGGTGTAGGATCACATAGTGAGTGGAGAATTTATATTTCCTCCACTCACACTTTATCATATTGTATCATCATCTTCCTCACCACAAAACCTAGCCACCATTAGAGAAGCTTAATGCTTAGGCTTTGAAAGTGATTTTTGAGGCCTCTCCACTCCCCTTAGACCATAAAGTTTGAAATATTTTTTGTTCCCCTCATCCTCCTCTACATAACCCTTGAAGAGTTTGCCATTTTGTGTTGATTTGCCTTGGATTCTAGAGAGACACTTCTCTAGTGAGGTAGGGAATGATTTTTTATTTTTTATTTTTTATTTTTATTTTTTATGTGTATACCATGTTTTGTATGAAATCTATGATTTAATTTAATTATTCATTAGTTAAAAATTAATTCACATGGTTGTATATGATGAAGAATTAATTAAAGACTTGATATTTGATTAGGCCTTGTCTTAATCTATGTTATATATTAATTTGAGAAATTTTGGAATTATTTTGAAATCTAGAGATTTATTTAAATTTTATGTAATTAAATTTTATTTAATTATTCCATTGATGTAATTAAGTTTTGACTTGATATTAGTGATTATCATGATTTAATCTTTATTATATATTAAATTGGAAGGATTTGAAGATGTCTTGAAATCTAGAGATTTAATTATTTTTATTTAATTAAATTCTATTCAACTATTCCAATGATGTAATTAAACTTTTGAGTTGATATTAGTGATTATCTTGACATGTTGTTTAACATATATTAAATTTGGAATATTTGGATGAATGTTGAAATCTAGATAATTTAATTATTTGTATTTAATTAAATTATGTTTTTCTACTCATGGCTTAAATTAAAGTATTGATATAATATATGTAATGACCACGATATGATCTTTGACATGTATTAATTTGAAGCCATTTGAAATTGATTTGGAATATAGAGAATTTAATTATTTTTATTTAATTAATTCTATTTAATTGCTCCATAGATTTAATTGTGTTTTGGAAGTTATTTCTATGTTTAAATCATGGACTTGGACTTGTTGTATATTCACTTGGTTACATTTTGAGCATTGGATAATATAGTTGTTATATTTATATTCATGAGAATATGTTTTCCTTATTGAATATATCATTGTCTTGTGTAATAAGTTCCACATTTTGTATTTGACATCTTTCATGCCATAGTAGTTGTGGACTTAAAGAATGTATTGTATGTGTTTCCAAATTTGGTTGTACATGGTAGATAGTTGATTATCTTGTATATACGTGTTGATATATATGTTGTTGCACAACTTGTTGATTTTGAAAACTTGGGAATGTCGTTGTTTGACTAAGGCTAGGACATGGTTCTAGTACGGGGGATTGTCCTTCTATAAGTCTAGTGCGCACATAGGGAGGTTACTTGTGGGCTAATAACCCTAAAATAACTATGGTGTCGGTCTGATCTGGCGTGACGTTCAAGTATCCATTTTGTTTGATTTCGTTCTTCATTGCAAGTTGATGGCTTTGAGAATTTATATCTTGTTGTTTCGTTTAACATACTTCTACGTTGTTTGAATTGCATGTATGACATGATATATGCTAGGAATGATATAAGGTAGTTTAGGACGCTCCCTGAGTCTCACTTTAACACAGACGTTAGGTGGCATAATCTTTTTGAATTGTTTCAAAGTAAATGTAAAAATCTGTGAAGAAATCGAGTCTATGCATGCTCATTTCCTACGAGTAAACTTGTTTACTCACCCCGAAATTACTGGGGGTTTTGTTCAGGTACGAAGACTTGGTTCGTGATATTCATCATTGCTTGGATGATTGTAGACTTGAATGTTTTAATTTTTGTAAATGTTGGTTTGAAATGCCACTTATAACCTTATTTGTCAAAATGTGTGTATTTAATTCAATTTATGTAATGTGTACATAAGTACACTCTGTGCAATGTATTTGACTTGTATGTAATGAGGCAAGGGCCAAAGACACTTATGTGATATGTATGCAAATTTTTAACTTCATTGTTGCTTGTGGAAGTTAGGAGATTTCATGCATTGAAGGGTCATATTTTACATACAATATGACATAAGGCCGGAGGCCATTGTAGTACGTCTACTTTATCGTATTATGCTTGCATGTTCACTTTGGCACATAATATCCTTCTTGATGAAACAAAAACTTAAGGTTACATTTTTTTTTGAGTTTTTACCTTATTTTGTTCCAGGGGCATTTTGGGTATTTCATAATGTATTTTTTTCATTTTCGCCCTCATTATCGGGTAGAAAACTCGATTTCGGAGGGGGTTTTTTCTTTATGTTTTTCCAGAAAATATCATCTTGGCCCTCAAAAACCCATTTTTTTCCGAAAAATCCTTGCTACCAGGTTTTTGCTGATCTGTAATACAAGTGTACTTGGTACTATTCATCAACTTTTTTTTGAAAATTGTGATGACCGATCCGAAACTTCTGGGGGTCTTGTGGGTACATTTTAAGATTGCATTTTCAATTTAGGCAATTTAAAAACCTCCCGAAGCCCCATTTCCTTTCCTTGGGCAGCAGCTTGGAAGGATTTTTACCCTCTTGACCTGATTTTCTTGGGGGCATTCTGGGCATTTTACAATGTATTTTTTTTATTTATTTCCGTCCTTGTTGCCGGATAGAAAACTTGATTTTAGGGGGGGTTTCTTCTTTGAGTTTTTCCAAAAAAGTCCGTTTAGATGCCTGTTTTTACTCTCAGTTGCAGCAGCAATGGGTCAGCAACACTGTAGCTGTCATGACCCTCTTTTTGTTTTTGACCTTTCTCCCTCGTTCGGACTCCAGATCGAGTAAAATTTTTTTTGAACTTGACTATGTTTTTTGCTGTCTTTTCAACGGTGTGCTCGGTTGCACCTGGATCTTCCTAGATAATTACCAGTTTACCCTTTTTGCTTTGTATGTCCGTTTTTCGTTGTTTTGTCGTTTCTCCTTTGTCCGGACTCCGAATCATGCGATTCTTGAGTCCATCTTGATTAATCTTTCATTGTCTTTCCATTAGTGTGCTCGGTAGCACTCGAATCTATATTTTTAGAAATGACCATTTTGCCTTTGGGGCTATTTTTGTCCGGTTTTCTTGTAATTCGCTTCCGCTACTTTCTTTTGAGTTCCGTGACTTCACGGGAAGTTATGGATGTGTCTTGGGAATGATATATATTCTAGGGACGTCATTTCTATGTAAAATGACTATTTTGCCCCTGAGGGCTTATTTGTCATATTTCCGATCTTTTACTTCCGCGCCAGTTCTCATTGAGTTCCACGACCTCATGGAAGGTTATCAAACTGTCTTAGAGGTGTGTTATTCCTTATGAGACCGTTGTCTTATTTCTTGCTTCCGCATTCTGGATTCGTTATTGGATCTACGTTCGGTTCATCACAAGACGCGCTGGCCTAAAAACCAAAGCCGTCATATAAAAAGAAATAATCCATTTTTTTTTTTTTTTTTGTGTAAATCCATTATGACATATCATATTTACACAGTGAAGATGCTCTAATAATATACTATATTATAAATATTTGTTAATTTAAAAATTCATATGACCTGTATATAAGTTTTTCAAACTTCAGGAAAGATTAGTATAATTGCCTAAACAATAAGAACCTCCTCTTTAATTTCAAATAAACCACTTACCTTCTATGTTTTAAATTATCGGTCTATTGATGTCATGTTCTATTGATGTCAATTATGTACTTAAAAATTAGGGTAAAGTACAGCCACACCCTTTGAGGCTTGGCAAAAGGATACTTAGAGGAAACTTACCTATTTTTTGGACAAAGATACCATTTGAAGGTTAAAAAATGGACAAAGACACCATTTTACATGAAAAATTGATCAAATTACCCTTTAACCGTTTAGGAGACTTTTTTAACTTTACAATTTAATAAATTAGACCAATCTACCCTCATGAATAATTTATGCATAAAAAAAAATGTAAAAAAAAAAACTTTGTATTGTTAACTTCTTCTTCCCTTTTTTTTTTTTTTTTTTTTTTTGTTATTTTCTTTATAAATGTCCCAACTTTTTAAAATTGTAGACGCCTAAAATGAATTTTTGATTCAATACATATATTTCAAATAAATTATATTTTGTTATTACTTTTTTCTTTTTCTTTTTTATTTTTAAATTAAGATGATTAATTCTTTCATCTAAAAAATTAATCCAATCTCTTTTCCTTAAAAATAAAAAATATGGTACTAGTATAACTTTATGCATCTTAAATTATATATCAAATATTATGCATTTCTCAATATAAAAGAAAATAGGTACCAGTATAACTTTATGCATCTTAATTTTATGCATGCCTTTGTTTTTTTTTTTTTTTTTTCCTTTGTTTTATTATTATTATTATTTTCCCCTTTTATGTTGGGAAATGCATAATATTTAATATATAATTTAAGATGCATAAAGTTATACTAGTACCATATTTTTTATTTTTAAGGAAAATAGATTGGTTTAATTTTTTTTATATGAAAGAATTAATTATCTTAATTTAAAAATAAAAAAGAAAAAGAAAAAAAGTATTAACAAAATATAATTTATTTGAAATATATGTATTGGATCAAAAAATCATTTTAGATGTCTAAATTTAAAGAAGTTGGGATATTTATAAAGTAAATAACAAAAAAAAAAAGTGAACAATATAAAGTTTTTTTTTTTTGTTACTTTTTTTTTATGCATAAATTGTTCATGAGGGTAGATTGGTCCAATTTATTAAATTGTGAAATTAAAAAAGTCTCCTAAACGGTCAAATGGTAGTTTGGTCAATTTCTCATGTAAATGGGTGTCTTTGTCCATTTTTGAACCTTCAGGGGTATCTTTGTCCAAAAAATATGTAAATTTCATCTGAGTGTCCTTTTACCGAATCTCAGTAGATGTGGCTGTACTATACCTCAAAAATTAATATGTTGTGATAAGTATAATTATTTATCCATGTTTGTACCCAAAAAAAAAAAAAAAATGGCAAGAAGATTTTGGAGTAGAAGGAGAGGCTTAGAACTGTGAAGTAAATCAATCAAAAGACGCCAATACATTTTTCTTATCATCATCATATTAAGTGCATGACAGAAAGAAATCAACCACAGCAACGAAGCTCAAACCCAACATACATTCTTTCTTCTCTCTTCGTCCTTATTTCAGCTTGATCAAACATCAACCAACCACTCACAACCCACCGATTCAAGGAACAATCCTGTGGGCTTTCATTTTATCAATGCAAGAAATGAGCGACTTCTCGGTATTCCTAAACCCCAGAAACCCATACTCCTTGCTCTTATTCATACTATCCAACAAACACTCCCCACCCAGTATCACATCCGCGAACCACCACGTCGCCACCTCCTCCAACCTCGTCGCCGCCAGCCCTTTCTCTCTCACTATCTCCTCCCACACCGGACCTTTCTCTCTCATCCTCTCCGCCAAGCTCACCCACTTCTCGTTTTCATCGAATTCCACGTATTCCACCCCAAATTGCTCCGCAATCACCCTCCACAAGTGCTTCCACTTGAACAGATCGCCGTTGCTGCAGTTGAAAGCTTCGTTGCTCGCGTACGGATCCACCGCCGCCCATATCTGGTGCTCCGCTATCAGGTCAGAATCCGACGCCACCGAGTAGCAGTTCCACGCTGCCTTCGTTCCCGGGAACTTCAACGGTACGTTTTCGTGTTTGCAGATTGCGGCGTAGACGCCGAGTGTGCCGATGATGTTCATCAGACTGTACGGGGAGAACCCGAATATGACGGCGGGTCGGTGGACGGACCAGGAGAGTGTCCGGGTCTTGGTGGCGGTTTCGGAGAGAATGTCTTCGAGGGTGTAGTAGAAATTGGGGGCGTTCATCAATCTGGGCATGTCTTCTCTGAACGGGGGTTCGTGGGGTTTGATTTTGCCGAATGCTTCGAATGGTCCGATGTAGTGTTTGTGGCCGGTTTGGAGGCAGATGTGGCAGAGATTGGCGGCTTTGGGGACCACGGCGGCGAGGACGTTGTTAAGCATGGCGGCATTGGCGTCGCAGCACTCGGACTCGGTGGCTCGCATGGCCCAGGTCACCCAGAAGATGTGGGTCACGTCGGTGAGGGGCGAGAGCTTGGCGAGGGTGTCGCCGGCGTCGGAGATGTCACATTGGATGTAGTCGACGGGATGGTCGGCGTTCCAGGAGGGGCGGGGGCGGCGCGCCACTCCGTAGACCTTCCATGGGCCGCCTGGGGTGTCCGAAAGCGGGAGGATTTCGGCTAGGCTGTTGCCAACTATACCGGTCACGCCGATGATCAGAGCAACACTCTGGGTAAGTCTCGGAACTTCATCTTCTTCCAATTTTTTCTGCAAAAATGATAAGTAACCAGTAATATGAAATCCATGTTTTAGAATTGAAATGAAAAACAGTTCTGCAATAAATGATTATGATAGTGTTAATAGAACAGTATAAATACCTTAGCAGCACCAACAGCTCCGGACCACCACCAGCTCATTGTTAGAATTAGATGGAAACTGAGGACAAAGAATTCTAGAGAGAGAAAAGTTGGTTAAGTGTGAGAAAGGTCGTTCAGTTGCTGGTTCTCTGATCGAGTTATAAGGGCGCATAGATAAAGTTTTTAAGTAATTTGAGCAGTTAGCGTGAGTCGCGTGCGTGTAAAAAAAATTATAAAAAAAGGGCTTTTTTTAAAAAAAAAAATACCTAACACATTAATAATAGTGTGGATGTAGTTTATGCCACTTGAGCAAAGGTCAAATTAAGTTGCCACACTAGTTCCAGCTACAAACAAGAAGACAAACAAAAATGTCCAAGTGTCATGTGATCGATATTGGTGTATGAGAAACAAAATGTCTAAGCGTCACGTGATCGATATTGGTGTATGAGCAAATTGTCGATCAATGGGTGTTGAACCTCGATCTGATCAAGTCACAAATTGTCGATCAATGCCCTAGAACCTCGATCCGACCAAGCCACGATCAATGGCCTTGAACCTCAATCCGACCAAGATACAAATTGTTGATTGATAGGCCTTGAACCTCAATTCGACCAAGTCACAAATTGTCGATTGATAGGCCTTGAACTTCGATCCGACCAAGTCACAAATTGTCGATCGATGGGCCTTGAATCTCGATCCGACCAAGCCACAAATTGTCGATCGATGAGTCTTGAACCTCGATCTGACCAAGCCACAAATTATCGATTAATGGGCTTTAAACATTGATCCGACCAAGCCACAAATTGTCGATTAATGGGCCCTAAACATTAATCCGACCTAGCCACTATCAAGCAACGGACCTTGAACCTCGATTTAACCAAACCACATACTACCAAGTAAAATGAACAACGAAGAGTAATGGTAGGACCCTTCGAGGCCAGTGGAAATGCAGAAGGGGTTTTGGAATGGAGGATGAAAAATCAGCAATGTGAGGATAAGAGTGAAAGACAAACTGGAGTAAGTACAATTACCTTTATAGCTAGCCCCATTTGGATCATTCAGGGAAAAGCATACCCTTGGCAGCAGAACCAAGAAGATAGAAATTAGGGTAATATGACCCATAAAGGGACATAGGTCCTTACTCATCCAATCTAGAGGCCTAACAAATACCACCCGAATGACTTAAGGACTATAAAAAGGTAAGAGGCACAAGAATTCAAGGGTTAAGACCATATACTCCAGACTTCGTCTTTTCTACCATCGCTCCAGTCTTCAGATTAGGCTGGTTTCTCTCCCTCTCTCTACTCTGCTGTATTCCTCATATTGTTTTAGTAGTATATACCAGGTATTTTGATCTCTCAACAATCATCGAAAAACAGGTACATACAAATAGTATTTAGACGTCTTATATTAGACAAATAGGAGAGAATTATTAAGGATATTTTTAAAAAAAAAAAATTACCTAACACATTAATAACAGTATTTAGACATCTTATATTAGACAAATATGAGAAAATTATTAAGGATATTTTTTAAAAAATATTTACCTAACACATTAATAATAGTATTTAGACATCTTAGAGCATTTTCAGCGATATGTTAAAATACTCTTTTGTGTAAAATATACACCGCCATCTATGATGTGTAAATTTTTTTCCATCTCTAACAGTCTGTTAAGATATATTGCCACATCACCAATGTGTAAAAGGGTTATGTAAAATACACAACCATTTTACACTGTCAGATCAACATATTTCATTTTTCATCCCTCTTTCTCATTCCATTAAAGAATCAACTATATATTAAGTAGGTTTGTAAAAGTTATGTGGGGTCCTGATATGACACATGGTTGGTTATTATTGGGAGATATATTTTTACACAAAAGGTATAAAATAATTGTTGTGGTTAAAATTAAATAATCTAATTTTTTTTGTGTAAATTCATCACGACACATCAGATTTACACAAAAAAAAAAATATATATACAACGGTTGGAGATGCTCTTATATTAGACGAATATGAGAGAATTATTAAGGATAGATGATGTAAGCATATATATATATATATTTTTTAAGGGATATAGACAATTATGTTGTATTGAAATATCACTCTAATTGTTTGTAGATCACTTATTTTATCTTTCTATGTAATTTAAGGAGATTGGAGCTTTCAATCTTCGAGTAATGATGCGAGAGTTTCAGTATACTTGAATTTTAAAAGAATTTGAATTTTACATACAGGAATTACAAAACATTCTAAATTTGTTCAATACATGTTCATAACATGTTCATAACATAAGTCTAAGTGGTTCTTTAATAATTAAGGCTTCATAAGAATTGAGGGGAATTTTTTTTTTCTTGGTAAATTAGGGGGAGGTGGATCCGAATACGAGCACACCTTGAATGTTCTTTTAACTAAGCAAGTGAGTAATGTTCCGAATTGAAGGGATGTAAAATGAATGAATTTATGTTTAATCATATAAAGAATTATAGAATAAATTTAGAATCATTAATTTAGGTTTAAGTTTTAATAATAATTTGAGTCTCTTATATGCATAAATCCAAAATAACAAAGTGTAAGACATTATTTGAAATTCATGACAACAATAATTCTAAATGCACAAAAATTATAATATCTTCCTTTAATCGAATAATACCTTGTATATCTCACATATAACTTCAATAAATAATGTTTTGTTTTAAGTGAGATTAATTAGATTTACCCATACAAATAATTATTTGAAAACCAACGACAGTAACTTGTGGCACTTCGTTAATGTGGAAGGTCGAGCAAAGTGATCGTGTATGTTATTGCCGGGTAGGGGTGCAACTTGGAAGGACTAGCCAAGCCTAACCCAAAAATTTTAGAATTTCGACTTTTAAATTCACAAATCGGGTTGGGTTTTATCAAAACCCAATCTTATTCGAATTGGGCCGAATCCAATCAGAACCCAATCACACTGCAAGAAAGGATGGTCTAGCAGCAAAAATAATAAAATGCTGTTAAAAAATCATTTTTAAAAGCACTTCATAAAAAATGCCGCCAGAAGTAAAAAAAAAAAAATGCTGCGTCATTTTTCATTTTTATTTTTTCATTTTTCATTTTTCATTTTTCATTTTCCAATTTTCTTTTTTCACTCCCTACTTTCTCTCTCTACCCCTAATCCTTTCTCTCTAGTTGGACTCAGACTCTCTCTTTACCCCCAATCCTCTCTCGCCGATCATCGTTTTCTCTCTCGTCGCTCCTCGCTTTCTCTCTCTACTCCCACTCATTTCTCTCTCTCTAGCTCGACTCAGACTGGTTTCCTCGCTCCTCGCTCTTCAATGGAGAGCTTGATCTACCAAAATTATACTGCGAACACAGTCCCGATTGTGCTATTTGAGCATATATTCTGTTGTGTTATTTGATTTGGGAGCCAAATCGACATCTGATTCGCCAAAATAGGCCAACTATCATCGCCAAACCAAACTGTTGAGTTCATCAGTCTATCCACTTGCAGGTAAATTCCATCAATATTGCTTTATTCATGCTTTAATTGGGGATTTATGTTAATCTTATAAGAAACCTTAGCTTTCTAAGAGTTTGACGCTAATTTTAGAACTTTATTTCAAATTTTATCTATCTTGATGTATAACTTAATTCAAAATTATTGAGAATTTTGTTGAAATCTCTTTCATTCTCCTTTTCTGTCGAACCAAATGAACGTAAGAGTCCAAAGTTTTAACTTCTTTTTTCTCTGTTCATTTTCCTCCTATTCCTGGGTGACCAAATGAACCGTCGGTATCAGAGTCAGACGTCTTCATCTTTCGTCTCCTTCTGCATGAACTTAGGTACGATGTTTGGCCTCTTTGTCTCTGTGTACACATATATATAGCGATGTGATTCGCGCTTTTTACTGTTGGAGGACTCTAGTATATTAAGTCTATCCGATTTAATATTGTTTCCTTTACAATTTTCACCTTCTGTAGTATGGTAGTATACTATATTGCTGACATGTTATGTAGATTCATTGCTTTGTTTAGCTTTGCATCTGAAATCTTTATATACAAACTTTTGCTGTATATAATTTTGTATAGACTTGTGTGGCAAAAAAAATCATTCATTCTTCTTCCTTTTTGTGACCAGCATTAGCATTGTTCACAATTGCAACCTGTGGTTTTCCTTTTTGTGACCAGCATTAGCATTGTTCACTATTAGTATTTATGAAGTGTGGAAATTTCTTCTTTAAGAATGTAATATGAATTACATGAAGAGTGTCTACTCTCCTAACACCGCAGCACAATGTAACCAACACTGGATGATGGTCTTTCCTTACTTGCTGCTAAAAGGATTCATTGAATGCATGTGCTCATGAGGAAACCATTTAGTAACCCTGCTATACATATTCGCTTCATTAAAAACTTTATCAACCATGTCCATTACATTAACTTTTTTGTTATGAAAATTGCTTGAATTTTGTCTTTTGCATGATCTGTTTATATAAGAGTTGGATTTTACCTATTTCATTAGTTATGTTGTTCATTCTGCAACATTGTACATAATTTGGAATCAAAGATAGAGATAATTAAAATAATAATAGAACATTGAAATAGATTAATTATTAGTATCACATTAGCATGTACTCTATAACCTACTTGCCTTTGTAGTTTCTTCAATCGCATTGCTTATAGTTGCCACTTTAAAGACACAAATATGGATAGGAGTTGGATTCACAGATCAAGGTACATTTTTTAGAAAATTTTACCTTCCATTTTATATGGTTTATAAGCTTATAACACATGTTTAACGAGTTAACTTTTTTATTTTTATTTTGTGTTCGGTAATATCAGAGTGAGCGAAGAATATGTAGAAGGAGTTGGAAACTTTTTGGATTTTGCATTTTCTAATGCAGCTAAAGAGGGGATGATCTTATGTCCATGCACTAAGTGTAGCAATTGCTTTTGGAAGAATTGTCAAGAAGTATTAAATCATGTTATTGCAGATGGATTTCTTAATAATTACACATGTTGGGTGTTCCATGGGGAGAGAATCTCTTCAAGAGATGTTAATAACGTAATAGAGCACGAGGACTTAGACCTATAAGATGACATACAAGGGATGTTGCATGATGCATTTGGAGTTAGAAGTCCTAACGATGAGGTGGATGATGCGATGTATTAAGCCACCGAGAGACCTAATTTAGATGTTATGAAGTTTTTCAAGTTGATAGAAGATGCTGAAATGGAATTTTACCCAGGATGTAAGCAGTTCACAAAGCTCTCTTTTATTGTTCGGTTATTTCATATAAATTGTCTTGGTGGATGGACCAATAAGTCATTCACAATGTTACTTGAGTTGTTAAAAGAAGCATTTCCAGAGGGTGAAAGATTACCAAAGTCTTTTTATGAGACCAAAAAGATTATTGGAGACTTAGGCTTAGGTTATAAAAAAATTGATGATTGTCCTAATGATTGCATGTTATATTGGAAGAAGACAGCCAATCAGGATTCTTGTGCAACATATGGTACTTCTAGATGGAAAACATTTTCTGATGATGAGGCATCATCTTCTTCCGATACGGTTCAAAAAGTTCCTGCCAAGGTACTATGTCACTTTCCTTTAATACCAAGGCTTCAATGGTTGTTCATGTCATCAAAAACAGCAAGTGAAATGAGATGGCATGCTGAAGGGCATATAGATGATGGGATCCTTATGCACCCTGCTGATTCTAGTGCATGGAAAACTTTTGACTATGAGCACCTTGACTTCTGTAATGACATTCGTAACGTCAGACTTGGGTTATCAACTGACGAATTTAATCCCTTTAAGACCATAAGCACATCCCACAGCACGTGGCTTGTTATTCTAATCCCATACAACATGTCCCAGAAGATCTGCATGAAGCAACCAAATTTCATCATGTCACTACTCATATTAAGGGTGTCATGACTAATGGGGCACAACAGTCACTCCAGTAGTAACGGATTCATCAGGTTCGCTCCATGCAAGCACAACACACTGGTTTTGTGCAAACTGTACATACGAGTTCCATACAAAAACAACAATTTTTACCTACACAAAATCAGTCTACCGACTCTACCTCCAATCTGGAACAGTCAATCCCTTCTCAAAATTGCAGTACTATTGAAACTGGAGGTATATGAATCTTTGAACATTATTTCAATAAAAACCATCTTGATTTTTGTAAGATTACTCATTTTCTTAAGTAACCACTCATGTAATAGAATCATCAAGAATACAACAAAAGACTCGTGGAGACACTAGGTGCCCTGACATATGGGGCAGATTTGAAGAAGATCGTATGTTTGTTGCTTCTAATGAATTGGGGCAGCCCATTGAGAAAGAAGGCGAAATTTTGGGTCAATTTCTGGGTACTATAGCACGGAACAGCGAGCTACTACCCTTGCATTTTACAGATTGGAGGAATTTACCTGATCAGTTTAAAGAGGAGGTATGGAAGATAGTCTTGGTATGAAGCATTATGTCAATCTCTTTATTAATACTAGTGGACGCACAAACACAGTTTATACTTTGTAGGTCCAACTAAGTTTGTTTTATGTGTTTTGAATTTGTGGCAGGAAAAGTTTATCATTCCAGAGTATGCTAAATCATGGGTAGTGAAATCGACTGGTAGGAAATAGAGTAACTTTAAATCTAATTTAAAGAGAAAGCATTACAAGAAACATGTGACTGATGCAGAGCGACTGATAGATCGTGATGATCGAGTTCTGCCAGAGCAGTGGTAATACCTAATTCAATTTTGGAACTCAGACAAAGGACAGGTGTAAAACACACATTCCCTTTTTGATTTCTCTTATCTTTCTCTAAATAATGTTTTAACATGTTTTTCTTATTTTTAGGAGCATAGCAATACTAATAGTATCAGTCGTTCTAAGCAAAAATATACTCACACAGCAGGGTCAAAAAGCTTTGCGCGAATATGCGAGGAAGAGGTAAGCTATTTTGTGCATTATGCTTATGTGATAATATTTTGGTAGTCTAATTTCCAAATAATTCTTCTGAACTTGAATGTTAATTATTTATTTGAGGATAGCGTAAAAATAGGTCTAATGTAGAGGAACCAACTCGGGCAGAGATGTATATACTAATGCACACGCAGAAGAATGGACGACCAATGGATGAAGCATCTGTAAAAATTATTGTAAGATACGTTCGTGGAATTTGGACTTTGTAGTGGACTCTTTTTTCATAATAATACATATAAGATTAAATTGTTGCTTACTTTATATTGTGGTTGTATAATGCAAACATTTGCCGTTTTTTATTTAGAAAAAGCTCAGAGAATATGCAACTCAGCAACCAGAAACTTCACAACGTGGTGCTGCTAGAGATGACATCTTTTCCCAAGTAGTTGGTGAAGATAGACATGGTCTGGTTCGCACATATGGCTTGGGTCCCTTTTTGTCAGATCTTTGGGGCACAACACCTAATCGTGTGAAGTCAATGAAGATGGCTTCAGAGGCTAAAAGGGCTTGTGAAGAAGAAGTTCATGATTTAAAAGAAGAAGTGCAAAAATTGAAGCAACTAATAATTGGATTGCAGGGCCGGATGGATGCTAGAGATAACCAAAATCAACCGGGTGCACATACTGAACAATATACCACTCAAACTGCCCCCACCAATACTCATCAGGTAACTTCATAGAGAAATGATAAATTTCAAACTGCCCCCACCAGAAATGATGCTATCTGCTGTATTGGATTTTACCACTCTATCTATTATTATGCATAGAAAACAGTAGTGCCAATAAAACTACCTAAGCCATACATAATAGGAGCAAGAGCGTAACTTGAAAATGATAAACTCTGTAGTTTGAAGCTTTGATTGGAATTTCATTTGTAGCTGCAATATTTTTGTAATATTAGAGCAAAACTTGAAAATGGTTGGTGATATATGTGTTGTGAGATTTATATGTACCACTCACAAGTGCACGAATCTTTGCAGATAGGGTTTACTTGTAAATGTGTCGTAACCAAGGGACCTGAGTAAATTAAGTTTGTCAGCAGATATCTTAAGTTCCAAAATTAACTTGAAAGTAGGATAATCGAATTGTGATGATTAATTCTAAATTAACTAAATAGAAAATAAAATAAACTAAAGAACAATGATTAAATATGATGTAGAAAATAGAGAGAAAGGACTAGGGATATGATTTCACCACTAATGTCGCACTACAAGTCAATTGCATCAATTTATTGGAGATATATCATATAACATGCACAGGGAATTAATCATGGCTACAAGCATATATTAATTCAACTAGAAAATGATATAATTTAAAGTTAGGTATGGACTATCTTCGATTGGTATAAACCATCTACCTATCTACTTTACTCTAGGGTGTAGGATGGTCTATCTTTTCTAGGTATAATCCATCAAATCTCTAACATTATATTCAGATAAATACCATTGTGTAATCATTTCATTCACAACTATAAGAAGTGAATGAGTTGTGTTCAATCACAAGATTAAAATATCTAAGATAAGATAGAAAAATATTTGTAATTGAATTAAAACTTTAAAACCGATTCTTACTGAAAATTCAATTAAAAACCTTATAGATTACACAATCATGCATGATAAAAATTGTTCTCCAATAATTAAATACAATCAAACCAGTGTGCTAAGCTAGGGCTACATCACAACCCTAGCAAAGCGTTTAGCCAAGCATGACTGGAGTGAAATTCTTCATGGTTGAGGAAGACATCTTCACCGCCATGGATCGATCTCTTCTTTCTTCTGAATGCTCCTCTCTTATCTCAGCCTCAAGCTCCTCTGTATGATCCTTCAATGTTGTAGAGGACTCCCTTTAAATAATAAAAGATCATCCCTAAAGTTCCTTTTTTCATATAGGAGACATACATAGAAATTCTGTCGAATAAGGACTCCCAAAATTTGTGCAGACTTCTAGGCCAATTTTGACAAGGTAAACGGCTGTTTTAGGGAAAGCTCGTGAAACACAAAATTGAAGCTCTTCGAATTTCCTATCAACCTTTACAAGAATTTAGCCGTTTTGACACTCGAGGAGAGAAATACAGCTAGATTACCAAAACGGGTTCAAGTTACCAACTTTGGTAACAAATCCTTTTTGGAGAATGATTTTTCCTTTTCTTCTTCTTTCTATTCTCATCAATTTGTAGCTTCTTTTGGACTATTTTCTAAGTATGATTAGACTTGGATCTTCAACATTGCTCGGTCCCATGAAAAGTCATCTTGTAAAGCTCAGAATTACTAGTGTTGACTGATTTTACAATTAAAGTCCTGAAATAAATAAAAATAATAAAACAATGTAAAATCACAAATAAACTATTATTAAGAAAATAAAACATACAAATAGAGGTGCTAAAATGTATAACATTCAACGCCTAACACACCCCCAAACTTACGTATTGCTAGTCCCATAACAATAAAATTAAAGAAAACATAAATGCCGCTTTCGTGGGAATCATGATTGCATTTAGCATATGCAACAAGCCTTTTAAACCCCTATGTTACCCCTAGTGGATGGGTGAAGTCTCGTGAGAGTTTCCAGAGATGATACTCACAAACATATAACACAATTCATCCTCTGGCAATCAATTTATTCTCATATCATAACAATAATCAAGGGGAAGACTACACAAAAGTACTTTAAAAATTATCATCTGACTATACTCTTTTATCCCTATTTTCATACTTCATCCTAATGTTTCCCACACACTTATATAACAAGAAAAAATAGCAAAATCAATCCCCAATGTTGTGAAATTTGTGAACTAGCAAATCACCTATGTAGTAATGTCTTTTCAATTGAACCCAACTTCTATAACTTCAATTCCTCAGATCCCTTCTCAAATTATTTTCTATGGCAAAATATTATTATTATTTTTTTTTTTTTTTTCTTTATCCTTACCCCTATTTCTTCATGCGAACACTCTATGTATATAAGACATGAGCCCCGATTACTCCATGAAAGGGTTACGAAATATATATATTTTTCTTCTGCTTTTTTCTCGGTTTTTTTTTTTTTTTTTTTTGTTTGTAATATCACTGCCATAGTAATAACCGTCAAAGTTCACCAATTTATATCCATCCATAGTTATTAGAATACAACAAAAAATACAAGTACCCATAGATAAAATTCTACTGTGCATATGAAATCCATCAGGGACCGACAATACTAAAATTCCTATTACACTAGATAATGGAACCCACATAAAATAAAGCACGAAAATTAGGGATTTAAGACGATCTCAGAAAAGAATTTTAAAAAGTACTTAAGTGTCTTAATCCCCCCAACAATTCTCAAATACTTGAATTAAAGTCAATATGCCAAAGAATTTTTTTTTTTTTTTTTAATTTAATTTAAGTACTAGAGTATTTTTTTTTAATTTTTAATTTTTTTTTAATTTAAGTACTAGAGTATTTTAATACAACTAAAGTAGACGCTATGCCCCCAAACTGGAATTGGACAGTGTCGTCACTAGGCAAAATCAAAAGTAAGAAAAATAAGAACTAAAAAGAAAATAAAAACAAAGAACAAAAGCACTTAACATGATAGCTAAAATGGAGGCGGTGGAGCATCGGGATTAAGCCCGTTATGAATCATAAGCGCACGCATCATGTCCATCATTGTTCTTTGATCCTGACGAATCATCCTTTGTTCCTCAAGAATCGTCCTTTGCTCCTAACGGATTTCTTGAACTTCAGATCGGAGTTGGGTCACCTCATTAACCAAATAGTCATAGGGATGCTCATCGGCGTCATCCTCGTCATCACTGGCCGCCTCTTCCATAGGCTTATCAAGGGGTTCATCAGCCGGCCCATCTTCAATGACCTGTCTAGTAGCCAATTGACTTGGATAAATAAGCAAAACTTGTTCACCCTGCACAATTGGGCGAGCCGGCTCTCCAGGTGCTGCAACCATCTTTAATGTCATGTGAGATCGGCTGCGATTCCAATCAACCTCACCATAGCGATCATGGCACACAGAAGAGAACTCATCAGTAGCAATAGTGTAGCCCTGAGAAGTAAGCAGTCGAATAATAAAGAATGGCAAAGGAAACTTCCAATCTTTTTCTTTTTCCGGAGTTTGCTTGATCACCAAATCATAAAATTTTTTAAATTGCCCATAGATGATTTCTGGAAAAGATACCCAATGGCCAAAATGGATGGCATTTAAAGCACGCAGAAAATCCTGACGACGCTCAGATTGATGAGTAAGAGGACACACATTGTGCAAAAGTATGACATCGACAAACCATAGGTGTAATGGCAAAGACGATTTGGCAGTAGATTTATATTTGGAGCCAGAAAAATAATTTGCAGCAAGGCGACTAATCACCAGTCTAGTGGGAACCTCTGACATCGGAGTAAAATTTGACTCCAAATCAGTCGGGCATTGATGTGGACATCCCAAAGCCATGGCAATCGTCGAAGGAGTAATGCGAATTATAGTACCATCAACGGATGACATTAGTGTTCCCCGTTCATCTGAATTGGAATGAAGATTTTGGTAAAACACCTTGACTAATCTGCAATGGGCCACTGAGTTTCTGGAACGCATGCATTAAGAAATTTGATGTCAAAACCCATTTCATAATTAAGTTTGCGACCATGCCACCTCCCATCTATGGTATCTCGAAGAGTTGGCCGTCTCATGGAAGATTGAATGGAGCGGCTTGTTGAAGCACCGCCTTGTGTGCCTTTCTTCTTTCTTGAAGCCATGTAAAAGGAAAAAGAATTCTTGGAAGCCTTTTATCGAACACTTGGCGGGCAGCCCCAATTTCTTGCCTTGAAAACTTTGATTTCTTCTCCAAATAAGTGCAAACAATATGGATAATCACTAAATGGAATTGGTTTTGGGATGATAAGGGATATATATATATATATATATATATGGGATGGGTGCGAGCCCAGACTAGACTGTTCCTACTTGGGTGCCAGTCCCGTGACTTTTCTAAAATCTAGTCTGGAAATTTATCTGCAAATTGGAGAGACCTATCAATAGGACGAATTTGTCTCTGATAGATACGATAACCTAGAAACCTGATTTTAGTTTGAAATAACGTGATTTTTGTAGCAGAAAGAACGAGACCATTCTTTTGAATTGTGGCCAGAAACGATTTCAAATGTTTCCAGTGTTCATCAATTGACTTGGAATAAATAAGCACATCATCAATATAAACAATGGAAAAATGACTATAAGGATTGAAAATATCATTCATGATATTTTGGAATTCACTAGGAGCATTTTTCAATCCAAAGGGCATTACTTTCCATTCATAATGACCAAATGGAGTAGTGAAGGCAGTTTTGTATCGATCTTTCTTTCGAAGGCGAATCTGCCAAAATCCTGACTTCATATCGAATTTGGAGAAAATAACTGCTTAACTAAGGCGACTAATAAGATTTTTTTTATTGGGAATAGGATACCTAATCCATTCTAAGACCTTATTGAGAGGCTTGTAATTGATAACTAGACGAGGAACACCTCTTTTTATTTCAGAGTTTTTCTGGACATAGAAAGTTGGACATGACCAAGGAGACTTGCTCTTTTAAATGATATTTTTCCGTAAAAGATCAGAGATTTCTTGTTTGCAAAATTCCATGACTTCAGGGCTCATTTGGATAGGCCTTGCTTTAGTGGGAAT